GTTTGGCTTATACCACCAATTTACTTGCAGTTAATATTCTTTGAACAATGATGGCAGTCGCCGGAGTAGCTGGATTTTGGTTATCTGGGTGGTTCCTGTTTGGTGTTATCTGCGAAGCTAACTTCACGTTTTCACCCTTACATCGGGTTCGGCTACAATTTTAAAAGTGGACCCTTGGACTTCGAAACCCGCTGCGGTTATTTTCTCAGGAGAAATTTACCAATTTAAAATTCGCTGACGAGCGCCTCTAGGTTATCGCACCTTTGTGTCAAAGTAGCTATGCAACTAACAATGGGACATTCATACATTCCGTGCAGAACCAAAAGAAGCCTGATTTATGTTTGATTCTTTCACTCCTCTCGCAGAGAGACTAGCTCAGTTAAAGTGAAAAGGTTTCCAACAATCAGAACAAAAAGTTCAGTTCGAATTGCTTTTCCGCAGTCACAACTCCTGTTCAGGTGTGACCCAATGAACATGTTTCTACGCTGGCTTTCGTTTTGGACAGTCTTCGTGAACCAGTGGATAAGTATTTCTAAGTCCGGAGAACGAGTGAGGAAAATATCAACATACCTGCGCGCGCCTACGGGATTAAGCCACTGGTCTTTTGAACTTGTTGTACGAGCTGGCACGTAAGACGTGTTACGCTAACGACACGGGGGTGGAAATACGATGTGCCGATTTCCGATGGGTGGCGATTCTGGTAGACTCCGCACCCTAGGCACTTTGAACGGTCAGACATTGGAGGAATGGCAGTGGCGTAGCGGCTGCATAATAAGACCAAGCGACTGCACGCATTGTGGAATGAGTATGGGTTTATACTATTCCTACAGCTTAGAGTAACATCTTTAATGTAGCAGTAAAAATACCAACGGGAACAGAAAGAATAGACTAGTTGCTTGCGTGCGTTTCCGTTGTAAGTCTGTCAGAATTGCAGCAGAGAATAAGCTAAGTTTCGCGCACCCGACGAATATACCACTTATTTATTTAATAACCCAAACATTTAATATTCACTTTGTAGGGCAGTTAAATCCCGGTGACATGAGTGCGAGCTTGAAGGTGAGCAACTAAATGGTGAATAATGATCTGCGAAAAGCAGGACAACTAGACTGGTATGACGGCACAGTATCGCGGCGAAGATTTGTCTGTCGTGGAAAGAAATAGTGTTGCTTCATTCTAGTTCCTTCATGAAGCATTGGCCACGCTTTTCATAAAGGAGTTGGGTATACAGTTAAGCGAACTCAAAATATTACTATTCTTAAGAGCCGTTTATGTGCCTCCTGGTGAACGCACTAAAGAGTTAATGCCGGAACTTGGAACTCACATCTCATGATAAGAAGTTTATATATCATATTACCAGCTGCATTTAAGATCTTCCAAACAGCTACCCACAGAGGAGAAAGCAGATAAATGATACTGCTAGAGGTTTAGTTCCTAGTATCCTGTTGGTCGGTGACAACATAATATTAAATTGAGACCTTGACGGCTATGTGCCACACTTACGTTATCAACAGCATATACGGTTCTTTCCTTTTTATCAATATATCATCTTTGCACACACGAAATAACAAGCACAGAATTGAGATCACTTTACAAATATGACAGTAGCCTGTAGTAGCAACTTATTCAGAAACAAAGAGCTTAGCGATCAGCAGTGAGCTACATTAACCTGACTGACACCACTAAAATCGAAACGCAAATCAACGTCTTTGTAACGACGGAACTGCGTCTAGACATTGGAACAATGTATTTAATGGGAATAAAAGCTCGAGCTTTATGTGACATATAGGGTAAAAAGATTTCGGATCGGGTCTGACGAAAGGCTAAGCAATCTTATAGTGGGTTAGACTCACGTGTTAGGCGTATCTTCATAGGGCTTATGCGACATGTAAACAGAATGCAGGCCGGCTCAAAGCGTGACATCCCACCACGCCCTCCGTAGTAACTCGCGCGAGTTGTATGAAACATTGCTAGTTCGAGCTATTAATCTAGGCCATACGCACGGTCTGCTCGGACGGTTGGGGCAGAGGAAGTTGGCATAAAATCATGTAATCTTGGTTTCAAGGGGCAGAATGATGTGCAACGTAGGACTCACAACTAAGTTTGCAAAGTAAGATCGGCGGACGGAAACAGGTAACCGTAACAGGAATGTTAATAGTACACCGATGAAAGCTTGAACTTGAGCAAAGTGCATTCAAATGATGTGAATGTGTAGCGATACTCGTTTGGACATGTAATGCTCTAAACAGAAAAGTATGCTATTAGTTCGGAATGTAGAAAGAGTCAGAAATCGAATCACTGAATCATCAAGAGTGAATACTCCATCTGGTGCAGGAAATCAAAGTGCTTTTGGATATTACAGTCATAAAGCGCATAATCTACCTGACGCCGGAAGGCCAACCGCTGTTATCTGCATGGCAGGTGCTTGCACGGCAGTAGAGGATGGGTCGGGCTATATCGCATTTAGCTAACAATTCGTGATGGTCGGATACCGTCCTCCATGGCGCAGTTGCATAAGCTGCGGGCTAGTTGGCAAGAGCCACTAGCAGTCATGGGTTCGATCCTCCGCAGAGGACCGAAGGATGCGCAACACTGATGAGCCCCAGTAGGGCAAAACGGCCGTCTGGTGCTTTTCCGGATAGCTGGTCGACATATCTGAATTGTCGGCTGATTGCGACGAACAAAAATACTCACCAAAATCCTTCCATTTATAAATAATACCAATTCGCCCTTACGGATTCCACAAAATGCTATGTCGATTCATAGCTGCCGTAACCGGGAAGTCCTGACGCCGGAAGGCCGACCGCTGTCATCTGCATGGCAGGTGCCTGCATGGCAGTGGAGGATGCATCGGGCTATATCGCATTTAGCGAAACGGCCGTCTGGTGCTTTCCGGATAGGTAGTTGACTCATCTGAATTGTCGGCTGATTGCGACGAACAAAAATACATATGATTTACTGCTTGTAGCTTACACAATAAGGCTAAGAACCCCTCAGTCATTTTAGACCTCAGCCCTACAATGAGGTTTAGTTGGAATAACCTTCGGACTAGCACTATCATAGAGGCAGCCATAAATATGGGAACTTAATGGGTATTGGATGTTGCTCCCCCGAAAATAATGCACTCCACGGCCAATTTGTTTTCGTATTGGCGACGCCCATTATCTCTGTGCTTCATATACAGTCCCAGTGATAGAAATGGCAAGAGTTCAATTCAGTGCAAATCGTGGTGTACAATGAGATTGTGCATCCCAAGCTATTCATACGTCGAGTGATCAAAAAGACTCTTCCACTCAGTCTTTAACTCTTATGATAGGCATCGCCCGGCCGCCCGAACCCAGTAATTTAGGAGTTTTGTGGGACATTCCAAAGGTTTGAGCGAAGTCCTGCTATCTCTATCTGATGACATAAAATATGTTCGAAAACCGTTATAACGTAAAACTTTTTCGGGTGGGCAACATGCGATATTCATCTGATTCAGGTACGGTCATTTAATTTAAATTGGCATATTCGCACGGCCCAGCTTAGCTGCTCCGATCATAAGGTACAAAAGCAATGCACTATGATTTAACAAACTGCTGTACGAACACACTTGTGGTTCCAATTCTATTGGTCCTTAGGCTATTGATTTCGTTTTAAAATTCATCGGAAGCCACGAATGTTGCAAAACGTACGGATACTTTTAGACGGATAGTTGGGAAAAGAAAACAAAATAACAACGCTTTAGGAGGTGAGTGACACTATGGACATGGAAAGTATAATTAAAACATGCATAACATTGGTACATAGCGATAGTTTATAAATGGTGAGAATGTGTGAGCAAACAATATAGGACTGCAAACGACAAAACGAAGAACTGTCTCAATCATGAAACATAACTCAGTTAGAAGTAACGACGTACCTCACACAAACGGTTAGGTGGGATAACACATGGCAAATGGAATTGCGTACATAAATCGGGTAGATTAGTTGCAGTCCAGTAACAGTTCAATCTTTCAGTAGGTCCACGTCTTGCAAGCACTCTTGCCTGTCACCTAGCTGCTTAGTGGAACGTAAGCACTACCTGTAGGCTAAAAATTACTTGCTTATCCAACGCATCAATGTGCGCATGTTTCACAAATGCGATCAGTGGGTCTTCAAGCTATGTAAGAGCACAGTAAGAAGTGGTGTAGATAAAACGAAAATCGCAGGTAAATCGCATCTTTCCAACTCATCGATCTGCCTATGTTTTTAAAAGTTACCAACGGGCCATCAAGCTGAGTAACACGAGTAATATAAGAGTATAGACTAAGGGAAAATCAGTGATATATATCTATCCAACCTATCGATGCGCCAATATTTTCATAGGCCACCGGGGGTCATCAGTTTGAGTAATACCGAAGGATGTGACAAGGTAGGAGGAAGGAATGAGAGACAAAGCTGTTATCTAGGAAGGAAAACTCATGATAAGAGAACACTGTATTTCACATTGCGTTGACAAAGCCTTCTCCCCATGTTTATCTCTACCTTTATATTGCGAACTCCGCAAGTACTTAGATGTTATCAGGCCCGTTCTCCCACACCCATTCGTCTATGCAACTGACACGAAACAGTTCTTTAACTTTATTAAAAGTTAAGTACTCCTTTAATTGTTTCTCAAATGTTTGAAGCGGGTGAACTTCCGATGGCATGAGACAATCTATTCCTTTGCGTGGGATAATTGTGTGTAAAGATGTCGTACCGTAGACATATGCGGCAACGAGGTAGCTTGGTCATATAGACCAAGGTTCACTTCAATGCTAATGACGATTCACATCGAAATTGCACGTCGCAATCCATCCACATAACGAACGCTTCAAAATGCCCCTCTAATGACTTGTGTAATGCTGTCTGCTTCTGTGACACGGCTTTTTTGGTATACAGTGCAATCTAAAAATGTAAAGTTAGTTATATTAACATGCTGCTGTTTGAGGTTGAACTCTTTGTACATACTGTGAACCGGTCTTTTGTATTGCCCTTTGAAGAGCCTCACCACTCCGAATCTCCAGCCTATGGATAAGGCCTATCTGACTGCTTTCCAATGGGACGGACATTATTTCGCACGCTCTCCGTATCCAACCAAGCGTTGGCGGTGGTTTTACAACTCAAAACTACTATGTAGGCAACCAACTTCTTTCCTATGTGCCACAGCGGACGACATCATCTCAGCCAGCACCGTTTCGCACATGATGGAACGTCTTCGACGCTGGTTGCATTTCCTACCCCCACCTGCAGACATATTAGAAAACGTTAACAAGCACTTTAACGGAAGTTGTAAGATGCGATGCTGTATTGACAGCTTCGAAGTGGAGAATGCTGAAGTTGAGGAGGTCGTGAATAGATGGTGGAACATTGCTAGTCTCTACGGTAAGTCTGATTTACCGCCGAATTTATCATATTGTGGGTTCGTTCAGCCGTCTATTTATACTTTGCATGCGAAAAATGATGCAGCATGTGAGACTAAACCTTAGTTAAAAGTGGAAAAGAGATTCAGAATATAACTCCAAAATTCCTTGGAAGCTGTTGAACGAACTGTCCACTGAGCTTAACAATTTTACGGTAAATTTTAGGTCACCAATATAGGTGACATCGTCAGTGCTTTAGTGTGTGACAGCGCGGAGAATTCGGAAGTGAGTTTGTGCCGTATAGTCACGTGCGTGCTATCTTATAGGTCATTGGCATTGGTATTTTGGGCAGGTAAACTCTCAAAATGGCCTCTTCGATCTCACGAACATGGCCCCTCTGCCTCATCGGATGCAAATGTTCCTTGAGCTGCTCGTAAAGTGTCCCTTACCATTAGGTTTACTCGACTACCATAGTGGTTCCTTGAATGTAGGTTTGCGAGTATGGCGTCTAATTCGACGTGTCGATTGATCGAATTGTTTGCGGAGTGCCTTGATTCTATGACTTTTCTTGCCTGCTTCTTATTTCTAGGTGACAGCATTTTACATTTTCTAGCTCAAAATGATGATTTGCTTCACCCAGTGTATAGTAACTAGTGACTATGGACCATGTCATCTTCTACGTTGGGACCCCTTGTGGAGAGCTTTCTTCCTGTTTGTCCGAGGTAGTACTTATCATAATCGCCACAGTTTATCTGGTAGATTACAGTGATGTGATTACGGTGCATGATCTTGTCCTTCGGTCTTGTAAGATAAACACTTAGTATAGTAATTTTTGTTTATTACTGTGGATTTACGTGGTTATAGTAATCGTGCTGGCAACATATATGTAGTCAAAACAACACGATCAATCGACATGGGTACTGGAAAACACTGAACGGAAAAGACCACCATACGAGCAGCTCAGGGAATATTTGCATCCGCTGAGGCAACGGGGCCATGTTTACGAGGCATGGGTCGAAGAGGCCATTTTCAGAGGTTACCTGTCCAAACGACCAATGACGATGATCTATAACAGAGCACGCGCGTGACTATTCGATTCACACTCACTTAGGCATTCTCCGCTCTGCCGCATACTAACGTACTGACGGTCAACTTGATTGGTAACGGAATATTTGCAGCAAAATTTCCCAGCTCGGCGAACAGTTTGTCTAACAGGAGAACAATCTGGGCAACCCAAATTTTCTTCCTTAGAAGTTATTGGTTCGTATTGTAGTGGGAGCTATGGATCATGTTACTAAGTATTTAAGCAGAATGCCCATATTGAGACATTCCGTTTTATGTCTACTACCATCTGCCGGTAAGATACTATATTTAAAGTTAATTGGATGTGGGCGGACGGTGTCATCTGATTGCAGTATTCGCAAAGCCGGATAGCTTAGCGGGGCGTGCGGCTTATCCCTTGATCCCTCCCTTATCTTATCCTTTTTCTGTGAGTGGTAGCAACTAGATAATTCCGTTTGAAGCAACCGCATTACATTGTACATAATTATGTACCAACCGGCTGTCATTCGTTCCATAAGTAACATGGTTGCTAATCCTAATTCCTTACTGCTTGATGCAAAGTGAGTCACCTAATTCACTTTTGGTCATCATTAGTTCCATTCGATATAGAGTATTGTAGGACAGTTTTAGAAAGCGGCAACCTTCGAATATTTCATAACTTTTAGTACGATGTAAATAAAAATATATAGTGCAAACGAATTGCTAAGGCTTGACTAAAACTCTCAATGAAGCGACATCGAAATAATTAAATTAATTAATTCTTATTCACAGCATTGCGTGGCGTTCACTTAATTTAGTGGAAAAGCGACCAGATGGGACCAACAGTTACACAGCCTAGGCAATATGTCTATCCGGTCCGAGTCGGCATTTAAGTGGTTGTGTGAAATTGTGTTTCCATTCCGCGTTGACAACAGTGTAACCAGCCTGTTTTGATTTACTCATTGTTTAACACCGTTTCCTCTCCACCCCAGTCCCCAATGCGAACGCGCTGGACCGAATTGTGAACGAGGCACGGTTTCTCAAAGTTAGCGCTTTGCTATTTTCACATACCCAAACTTTTATGTTTAGTGACTGTAAAGCAATCTCGTTGCTTGCTATACGATATCATTAATGGTGTTTATTTAAATAAGCTATTAGGTCTACGGTGATTCGCACATGAACCAGGATAGGCATTACGCCCTATGTGTGCGCTTGCACTCTCGAGAAGCCACATTCGTTAGCCGGTTAGTAGCCATCACTCCTACGGTTTGCACAACGCGCATATTCTCAACAGCATATAGGGCGTGGAAGACAGTTGTTTAACTTTTCTCATCCATATATAATTTCTATTTACTGACGAATCTTTTGGGCAGTGACAGTCTATGAAATCTCTATAATTTAGCAGAACCTATCTTAGTCACGGCTAATATGTTTTTTCTTACCTTAACTGACCTTACCACGCATACTTCTTTCAGCGCCACGTTGTTACACTCAACTGGAAACATAGGATTATGCTACTTGTGAGGGGAGGAGGTGCTAGCATAGGTTTTTTAGTCATATTTACTCCGGTCACTCGAAACGACCTCAGGCTATCTAATTTTTCTGACTAATGGAAACATTATTACCCAACACATAACCGGTTCATCTTTTGTACCCGCTGGAGAACGTTTCGTGACTCACCGGTGAGTTAAGCCAGGCCCTGTTTTTGATACTTACTAGGCCTCAGTCGGAGTAAAAGTCTAGCCACAAGGAAATGTCTGGTTATTCTGGGAGGGTTTGTATAATACTCGCAAATATGTTAATAGGATTTCCATGGCTGGAAAATTCCAAGAGCCTAGCGCTTACCCCCACGTTCCAGCTATAATCACACATGCATGCGGTGTGTGGATGGCAAGGTTATCGTCGATACGCAAAGATTGATAATCAAACGTTCCAGCACCGCCACCGCATGTAACGTCGGCATATGACGCAAAAGCCTAACCTAAACATGGCTAATAGAATTACTTGTTCATCCGGAACATGCCAGCTTCCGCAAGTTATACCGGCAACACGATATTACTTAAGGGGGTTCCAGGTCCCACCTATGGACAAAGCTTACTCTCTGTTAGGGTCGTCAGGAAAAATAACTGGAAACGAAAATCGAGCCACTGGAGTCCCAGTGTTTCTGGCCTACCTGAATTCCACGAGTGCGGATTGTCACAGTCGTGTGGGATCCACGTTTCAAGCTTGAGTACCAGTCTTCAAACGACATTCGACCTGAACCCAGACACGCAGCTTTTAACTTCAAAGTATGTTAAGCCACATAAACCATCTCCCTTATGTCCCTTGTCTATTTCAGTATTCCTGACTAACATTCGTTTCCTTCACTCTATAACCCACACTCCAAGTCTGTAACTAACCAATATGAGTTAGAAGGAATGTGTAAGTTGTATCGCACAGCAACCAATGATATAGCCACTACACGCCTTGTGCTAACTAGTTCATGACTGATGTCGCGAGCTGTACTGTAGACCTTATGTGGAAGCAGAATCACACCTTCACTAATAGTCTACTTAGTGCGACTCAAGCAAATAAAGTAACAGCTGTTTGCTATCAATCCCCCGAGTCTCCCTGAAGCTGCCTTGGGGCTCATGACCCTAAGATCAAGATGCTGATCTGTCATTCTTGCGTCTACGTAATTTTCCCTTGTGACCAGTTTCAAATCTTAGATTTTTCTGTCACGTGATTCATATATATGTTGTTAGTTTGCGCGTGAACAGATAACACGAAATGGTTCCATCTCGCAATACCAGACTTCTTATTGTCTTATTTAGAATATTCGAACTATTTCATTAACATCCAGTAGATAGTGGGTTGACTATTAAACTGCTCCAACCCTAACCGGTATCTCCAGCTGCAAATGCTACACTAACGAGAAGTCCTCTCTTGAGGGTTAGTGATTACGCTACATGCATACTGCTTCATGAAACTGCTTGATATTCTCACTTGTTCATCTCTCTCTATCACGTGCAGAGTTTTCTGAAGCACTCAATACGGTACGCTTTGCTTAATCTTCCTGCAAGCCTAAGGGTCACCTGACCAACTCTATCTTGTTTTCTGCAAGCATCTTTAGCTCAGATAACAACTGCATCCACATAAATTTGGCCAACTTAAATACAAGCGTGTCTACTCAGCTAGTGCAAACGCCAAGCCTAAGGCCAGAGCAAGGCACATGTTCGGCACTGTCATTATCACGGACTGGCCGGGCAAATTCCACACGTTTCATAGGATTCGCTATACACATATTTAAACGCAGAAGACGGCTGCGTTTCATTGCTTTCTCTTTACCACTTCGTACACACAAGCTGACAGGATCTCCTGCACCCCAATCCAGAAACATCAGCCAAGCAGTTGTATTCCATATAGAGCTTCACTTCAAAGTGAAAAAGATGGTAGAGTATGGTACGACGAAGAAGCTGATGAGCTGTGTAATCAAAATTTCAAGATTCCTTCCAAATCGACGAATAATGCGTCTTGGCAACAAATGGTCTCTAGATAGAACTGGGCAACCCTACTTGCTTACGAACAATTTAAAAGCAAAGCAGGATAAAGAAATGCTACTAACTACAAAGAAAAGTATCACGTAACAAGATGCACGGTTTTGGCCACATCCGCATGAATAACTTTCGTTTCGTCCTGGAAAGTCAGCAAGTAGGGTTTCGAAATGACACACCAACTGCCCATCAATACGCCGCGTTTTATTTAACAAAATATGTAAAGGAAAGCGGGCATAATTGCCGTGAGGTGCAGGTGAATAGTTGGTCGCACAAGCTGCTCTCACACCAATGTTTCAAAAATGCGAGGCTACCGAGAATATGATGATAAGCTCCAACATAGCAAATTTCAACGACATTCACATCCGGGTCCAAACGGTACAAAGAGACACATTACTAAAACAACCAATGTCCTTTCAGTGCCAGTGTCAGTGTAGTCTAGTATGAATGCGGAGAGAGTTACAGCACCATTGCTACCGACTATACTGTGTGGTCAAACCCAATTTATCCCCCCCTCGGTAACGTGTTGTTGCTGTTTCAATAAGTTCTGGCATGGGCGGAGGGTCTGATACACCCATATAAGACCACCCTGCATACAACGATATTGTTCACTGAATCTCCTAGTCTTTAGTCTAAACTAGTAATGAAGGCTAAGCAAACTCTTAGCAACTCAGCTGTCCCCGGTTATGGGTTCTCAAGCACAGAGCGGTCATATTGTAGCGAGAACGACACGACAGGGGGGTAGACGTTTATTGCACACCGAAAATGGGCACATGAGGGTCTCGCGCGCGCCATCGAATATCGACTAAGTTTCCGTCCCACAACGCAACACAGGTGCGGATGGTAGAGACGAGCCAGTCCTTTCGCCTCGGGAGCTCTGACTTGGAAGATCCGCCTTCCTGTTTTCGCCTCGATCTCCGCTTCTCTGCACCCGATGTGGATCGGCCAGGAGTCGTTCGAGAGCTCTCGACTTGCTTGTTCGGGGCTGTGTCAATCGGCTCGGCCTCGGTATGTAAGCTGCGATAGCGGCGTATTTGTCTGATTTATTGCGCTGTCCACATGTTCCCGCTCCGTAGTTCCGGGCCCAGACTCGTCGCTAGCCGTCTTTCGCGATCCGCTCTCAGCTAGCTCCGAAGAGCTCCCCAGAGCCATTCTTGGAAGCGGCCCCTCTACACCCGCCCCTCCTCCAGGACCTTTCTTCCTCTCGTACCATGGTCGCAGGAGAGCAGCATTCACCCAACGTTTCATTCCTCCGCAGTCGATTAAGAAGTTGCCCGCTTTCTGGTCGATGATGGTGTAGGGGCCTTTCCAGCGTTCTCTGAACTTGCTTGCGCCCGGCCCGTCATGATCCGGCCGATCGTTGTTCCGTAACTTGACCCGTTCTCCAATCCTGAATGGCCTCCACTTGTGAGCCTCATGCCTGGCGTCGTAATTTCGCTTATTCCGCGCTTGTCGAGCTTTGGTTTCGCTTCTAGCTTTCCATCGCAGTCGCTCTTGATGCTCAGCTGGATGTTTCCACTCACCCTGGTTCGGTAGGCAAGTATCAAGCGCAATCCGTGGTTCTCTGCCGAACAGTAATTCGAATGGCGAGACCTTGGTGGTTGATTGCATGCTGGTCCGATACGCGATCAGAACTTGAGGCAAAGCATCTTCCCATGCCAACTTCGTGCAGTTTATCCACGTCTTCAATGTCCGGTTGAACCGCTCGGTCATCCCGTTGGTTTGTGGGTGGTACGGTGAAGTTCGCCGTCTCTGGATGCCCCACTTGTCCAACACTGACTTAAACGCTCTTGACTCGAAGCAGGGCCCTGGTCCGTGATGATACACTGTGGGATCCCATACCTTGCAGGCACATTGAATTCGAATACTTGCGACACTGTCTCGCCTGTTTGGTCCTTAATTGGTATGGCTTCCACCCATCGAGTGAAGTGGTCAATCATCACTAGAATGTATCTGTTTCCTGTTCGACTCACTGGTAAGGGCCCAAAGACGTCCAGTCCCCAACACTGAAGTGGCTCACCAACCTCCATCGATCGCATCGGCGGTCTCGGGGACTCCATCTCCCGACTCGTTTGGCAGTTTGGGCACTCCCGAAGGTATGCCGCGACGTCCTTCCTCATAGTTGGCCAAAACACTCGCCTCCGCAGCAATTCAAAGACCCGCTCGAATCTCATATGGGCGCCATCATGGGTTATGCGCATCACACGTTCTCGCTGATTTGGTGGAACAAAAGGCACTTTCCGTCCGTCTATCGCCACCACCACGTTATCGTTTTCGACCTTCAACCTGTCCCAGATCTTGAGGAGTTCCTCCACCTCCTCCGATGTAGCCTCCGGTTTGGTGCCAGCCCGTAAGTGAGAGCACAACACATTCATGAATTCATCTGTCCTTTGATCTCCCAGCAGGTTCCTCTCTCCCATCGCGAACGCACGCACCGGTATAGCATGGTCTGGCATGATGTCGTCCAAACACGGGCGTGACAACATATCTGGCAATACATTCTGCGTACCATCCACATGCTCAATGGTGAAGTTGAATTCCTGCAATCGGTAGGCCCATCGCGCAAGCCGTCCCCGCGGGTCTTTCGCCGTCATCAACC